CTAAGGGGCTGGGAATAGCCTCATCAGGCTGGTGCTGGGAGCTGTGACCCACCACTCCTTATACCTGGGGAAGTGTGTGTGTGTGTGTGTGTGTAGCAGATGGGACACCAGCAGGGGCTTCACTGGGAAACAAACCAGATTTCTCCCTCCATCTGCCTCCTTTAGCAGTCCACTCGCCCAGAGCCCAGAGAAGCCACGGCAGCGAGTCGGGGGCGGGCCTCTGCAGTTGGCTGCCATTTAAGGGGCGAGGGAGAGAGGTGTGGGGGGCAGTGACAGCATCATCATCAGGGCTCAGGGCGTGCCTGGGGTGGTTTCCTTGTGTGCCACCCACAAGCTGTGCGGCTCTGGCCAAATAGCTAATCCGACCGATCACTTGGCCTTATCTGAAAGCTGGAAGTAACGCTGACGTGACAAGATAATGCAGGACAAACGCTTATTCTTTGCTTGGCCCAGAGGAAGAAATCCGAACTCTGAGTGTCCCTGGCAACTGCAAGAGCGTTCAGATCCACCTCCTGTCTTTGTTCTTGTCCTTATAATCCTTTCCCACAAAGCAACATGAATGACTTTTAAAAATGCAAAGCACATCACGTCACTGTCCAGGGGATTCCCCAGCTCTGCCCTCCTGGCTGCCGTGCCCCTGCACTCTGGTGGTCTCTTCCTGAGAGACGCCCCACGTCCTCTGTCACTGTCTGAACGTGTCCTGCAGACACGTGTTCTCACAGGGTATGTGCATCTGCCCGCCCCTGCAGGAGCCCCTTACCCCCGCCCCAATATGAGCTCCTAGGGAACAGAGAGTTGACATATTGCATGTTTATACCTGGAAACCTCCACAGAATGTCTAAGATCTCATTAAATTATCTATCAGCTATTTCAGATTTAATAAGATGAAAGAACACATTTTGGCTTTCCACTATGGAGAAACCCACCAAACACCAGTTGTTTGAGAGTCCGTAGATGTGACCTTACAATTCTCTAGAAAAGCAAAACACTTTACACAGCAAAGTGCACCGCACAGAATGGAGAATAGGAGTTGCCAAAAATAATGCCCCACTGCACACTGCCCTGGACGTACTGTCCTTCCCAGAGATGGGGGAGCGCACAGTTGATTCCAGCAAAACTGGCTCCCTCTGCATTTAGCATGGAAGGCGGTCGCCTTAGTTTAACCCTTGAATGTGACCTTGTCTATTGACTCCCAGCTGGTGGTGGTCAGAAGCTGCAATGGAATCATTGCAGGGAGCCACGTCCCACATGGTTAGCTGGTAATGGTGTGGTTGGATGGAGGTTTATCAGCTGCTGAAACTGCTGTGGTAAGACAAACACTTAGTGGGCTCTGAAGGAGACCCGGATTCCAAGCCCCTTTGTTGTGGGGTGCCAGCATGCTCTCACACTCAGGAATGGCAGAAAGGGGGAGCAAAGGAGGCTGCACAGAGGAGGGAGTGTACTCCCTTTTATGTGGCCCCTTTACTCCGGGTCAGCAGCTCAGTCCTGGCTGATGAAGGTATTCATTCATCCATTCACTCATTCATTCAACAAATATTTTTTGTCTGTCAACTATGAGGTTCCAGTAATGAATAAAACGACAAGGACATTGGTCCTCATGAATCTTTTCTAGTGAGCAGGATATAGGCAATCACTAAGAGGTTTTGATTTGGGAATTATTCATTCGCAGCCTTAGGGATGGTGGTTGCTCTCAACCTTGCTTTTTATGTGGTCTGAAAAAAATTCCATTTTTGTGTAGTCAGATTCATATTTTTTAATGTTTCTATCATGGCTTGACAACCCTTTGTCCTTCCAAAATATATAGACACATGTTCCTGTTTTCTTTTAGTACTACTACGTATTATGACTTACCTGAATCTTCTGTATAAACCAAGAAAGATTATTTTGTTTATACTCACATCACCATATGAGGGTGCATCAGAGGGTCCTCTTATTTCTGTCATCATTAACTGGATTTTATTAATTCTTTGAATGTGTGCCAACTTGATAGGCAATTTTTTTTTCTTGTCTTCAGAAAAAATTCTTTTTGTTAGTAAAGTTTAAGAATTTGTATTTTATAAACTGTCTTTTAAAGTCTTTTATAATTTTTCTATTGGGGTGTTGCTGGTACTTATTGGTTCTAAAGAGCATTTTATATATGAAGGAACTTAACCTTTTTTCATGTATATTAAAAATACTTCACAGTTTGTTTTTCACTTTTTAAAAAAATTTAAAAAGTTATGTTAGACTCTCTGTCACTTAGGCTGGAGTGCAGTGACTCCATTGTAGCTCTCTATGGCTTTGAACTTTGGGGCTCAAGTAATCTTCCTGCCTCAGCCTCTCTGATAGGTAGGACTATAGGTGCACACCCATGGTGGCCTAATCTTTTTTGTAAACTTTATTTTTTAGAGATAGAGTCTTACCATGTTACTCAGGATGGTCGTGTCTCAACCTTCTCAGTAGTTGGGATTAGAGACATGAGCCATTTCACCCAGCTTTCACTTTTTACGTGTATTAAAATATGGTCATCAAAGGATGCTAACCCTGTTGGGTAAAAATTTGATGAAAAACAGAATATTTGTACCATCTTGAAGTATCTCCTCACAAATTACAAAAGGAAAAGTAGTAACTTTACAGTGGAGAAAGCTGGCAGACAGTACCTTAACCCAGCACTGTTATGCTGCACCCGTGTGGATTCTAACAGGCCACAGAACACTCCTATCCTCCTGACTTGAGGCACTGAGAAGGACACAGTGTTACTTATGTAAGAGTCTTGCCAAACATACATAACTTGAATTTAACCATGAGAAAATATGCGGTAAACCAAAATTGAGGTACATCTATAGGGGCAACTAATCTGTATTTTCTGAAAAATCTAAAAAGACAAGGCAACTTAATGCATTATGTTATTCTGGATCAGATTCTGGACCAGAAAGAAAACTGAGATCAACAACATTATTGGAATAATTGGCAAAATTTGAATATGGAATGTAGGTTATATAATAAAACTGCATCAGTATTAGTTTCCCTGATTTTTATAACTGAACTGTGATTGCAAAGGTCATGTTTTTGTACTTGGGAATACACGCTGAAATATTCAGGGATTGAGGCAACTTATCTCAAGTGATTCAGAAAGATATGACAGGAGCTTGTGTGTACATGTGTTTTTGTGGATGTACAGGTGTGTGTATATGAGGGAGAATGTGCATTTGTGTTTTTATGTGTGTATGTGCGCGTGGGTTTGTGTCTGAGAGCGACAGCCAGGGTGAGAGAGAGTGATAATACAGACCCAGTACAGTGCTCATTATCCGTGGGTCTGGGTGAAGGGTGTATGCCACTTGCTTTGTTTTCTTGTAGCTTCAAAATTGTTTCAAAATAAAGTGTTCAAAATTTTTTCTTCCTCAAAAGTAAATAAATTAAAATTTATGATTCATTTTCTTCATGGTTGCTGGTTGTCATGCCGTGCTTGGAAAGCCTTATTGATCTCAGGATCATAAGCATATTCACCCATGTTTTCTTCCTGAGGTTTCTTTTTCACATTGACATCTTTGCTCTGTCTGGAATTTTGATGTTGAAGCAGGAAAATTGTCCACATTTTTTTCCCCTAAATGTCTGACCAATTTTCCTGCCTATTCTCACCAGTGTCCAAGTCTATGTTTATCATATACTGAAGTTCCATACAGAAGTGTGTATAGACAGATATCTATCAACATATACACACGTGCACGATACTCCTTTGTGTATCCTGGACTTGTTTGCCTTCCTTTGATGCGTTCATTCCCGTGTCTTTCATTCTTATTTACTCCTCCAGAATGTTTCTGGCTGTTCGTGGGTATTTCCTCCTCTAGTAGAATTTCATACATTTTAACTTGAAGATTATTTGATTTTAAGTTGCACACAAAGCGATTTAAAAGGCTGTATACCCGGTTTGTCATGTAATTGGAGTAAAGGTTGCACAATCAGGAAAAGTAAAACGGTCAAGTGGGATCTGCATAAATGTGGCAGAAATATTGGTCACTCCAGGCCTCTACCTTGGCTATTGTAGGACTTAATCTCAGCCACTTGCTTTAAAGTCTATTAAAGCAAAATCTTGGAAGAAATAATTGATTGGTCATTGGCCAGTGCCGCACTGGTCCTCCCTGACTCGGTGGCTATTGAGGTTATGTGTCACTAACGTGGCTGCTGGAGACTCTCTGTATGGGGAATTTTTAGAAAATGAATGTGGGTTTGGTGACATGCTAAATAATGCCTAATAAGATTTTTGAAAAATTGAGTCTTGCAGCCTAAGAACAATAAAGGTCTTTCCATTTATTTAAATCTCTTCTTAAGGTCCTTTGTAGAGGTTTTTAGTTTAAAAAATTGTCCCTAAATACATATTTAGACATTGTATGCTTTTTGTTATTTTGAATGGAATCTTTTCTCCCATAATATTTGTCTGAATGATTGAATGATTAGTATTATAAAGAGCAAGTAGTTTTCATATTTAATTTTAACCAAATATATTATTTAATTTTCTGATTATTTTTAATAGTAGGTTGGTTGTTTCTCTGGAGCTTGCTAGGTATAGAGTCAGTTATCAGCAAATAAAGATGTTTTTGTCTTCTTTGTGCATATACATCCCTACATTTTATATGATAAAAATTTCAACATATTTGTGATAATCAGAAAGAAACTGATGAATAAATTTATAATAAACTAATAAATAAATTTATTTTCTAAGAAAAAGGAAGAAATGTACTTTATGAAGTCTAACAAAAATGTGAAACAAGATATTAAACTTCTTCTTGAACTTAGCTGGAAGTATTTATCCAGCCAACATATGAACTATATTTTCATGCATCCATCCACCCACCTACCCATCTGTGCAATGAATTTTTACTTCTTGACTCTCTTATGCTGTAGATCCTTGTGGATACAATAAGAAAGACACAGTCCTTGACCTGAAAGACTTGTCAGTGTTTGTAACCATTGGCTATTATGAAATCTTTATGGTTCTCAGCATTTTCAATTTGATTTTGCAGCACAGGGGGTGAACGGCACTCTGGAGAACCTGGCCTTGGATACAAGAATGCTAGAGGAGTTCTTGGGCAATGACTTTGATTTGGGGGCCTTGTAAGTAATGAGAGCACTGCTCTCCACTGGATGTTTCAAAAATTATGAAATAATTAAATGACCTAGGAAGTGTCCCTTCCTCTTTAGTTTGGTATTATTGCTTCTATTAATTTCTGTCACATTTCGCCAGTGACCATCCTGGTCCTGGAGTTTTCTTTGTGGGAAGTCTACCTGCTTCTCACCTTCTGTCCAAATTCAGTTTCTTTAATAGACACAGAGCAGCTCAGCTGACCTCTTGGTACTTACTGGCTTGGGTAGTTTGTGTCTCTCAGTGAATTTGTCCAGATCATCTAAGTTGGGAAACTCCTACTTTAGTACTATATTTTTGATGTCTGTAGGGTCTATAGTAATGGTCTTTTTGTTTTTAATATTAGTAATCTGTGTCTTTTTTTTCTTGATCAATCCGAAAAGAGGTTTATCCATTTTCTTAACCTTTAAAAGAACCTACTTTTGGTTAAATTTGTATATTTTTTGTTTGTTTTCCATTTCATTGAGTTCTGCTCTTATTTTCTGATGTTAGTATAGCCATGCCAGCTTTCTTTTTTTATTCTTAATTTACATATAGTAAACTTAAATATTATAAACGAATTTAATAATAAATATAAACTTTTTGTATAAAGTTCTATGAGTTTTGACAAATTCATAAAATCATAGAATCACTATAATAATTGTGATACACAACGTTTCCCTGGCCTGAAACATTTCCTTAATGCTACCCAACCCCCAGCGGCTCCCGGCCCCTGGTAACCACCGGTCTGTTCTTTGGCCCTATAGTTTTGCTTTTTCCAGAATATCACATAAGTTGAACCATATAGTTTATAATCTTTTGAGTCTGTCTTCTTTCACTTAGAATAACGTCTTTGATTAATATTTCATTTCTTCTTATTTCTGAGAAAGAAGCTTTCGAATGGTTATAGCATAGTTTGTTTATCCATTCACACATTCAAGGACATTTGAATTATTTCCATTTTTGGAAATTATGAGTAATGATTTATGAATATTCATGTGCATGTTTCTGTGTGATCAGGAGTTTTAATTTCGCTATGGTAAACACTGAGAATAAAGACTGCTGGGTCATGTGGTAAGTGGAAGCTTAGCTGTAAAAATTGCCAGATTTTCTGGAGCTGCTGTAGCCTTTTGCATCGTCACTCGCAATGTCTGAGCTATCTGGTTGCTTCTCTTCATCATCAGTTATTTGTATTATGAGTTTAAAAAATTATTGGAGCCATTCTAATAGGGTTGTAGTGATATTTCATGTTTTAATGCACATTTTTCTTTTCTTTTCTTTTTTGAGGCAGAGTCTCACTGTATTGCCCCAGGGTAGATCATAGCTCACAGCCACCTCAAACTCCTGGGCTCAAGTGATCCTTCTTATCCCAGTCTCCCAAACTGGGACTACAGGTGCCCACCAGATAGTTTTTCTGATTTTAGTAGAAATGGGGTCTCCCTCTTGCTCAGGCTGGTCTTGAACAACAGAGTTCAAACAATCCACTGGCTGTGGCCTCCCAAGAGAGCCAGGCTGACAGATGTGAGCTGCTGTGCCTGGCTTTGACTTGCATTTTTCTGACGACTAGTAGTGTCTTATATAATTTCATGTGCTTGTTTGTCATTCATGTTTTTTTTTTTTTGGTGGAGTGGCTATTTGAATCTTTTGCCTATTTTAAGAAATTGGGGTTATTTTCTTATTTTTGAATTTAGAAAAATATTTCAATATTCCAGATATAAGAACTTTGTTAGATTTATGATTTGTAAATATTTTCTCTGCCAGTTTGTAACTTATGTTTTTATTCTTTTTTTTTCTCATTCAAATTTCCTTTATTTCTTATAGCATAACTGTGTACATTAATGCAATCATGGGGTACAGTGTGCTGTTTTCATATACATTTTGAAATATTCTCATCAAACTGGCTAACGTAACCTTCATGTCATTTTCCCAGTTATTGAGTTAAGACATTCATACTCCGCTTCCAGAAAGATTCACCTGTACCCCTATAAGATAAACCATAGAGGTGACCCCACCCATCACCCTCCCTCCCCCCGTACACCCCCCTGTCCTCCTCTCTCCCACCCCCTTCCCACATTCTAAGGCTATAATTAGGTTATGACATTCCTATGAAAGCTATGAATTAGTTTCAAAATAGGGCTATGTACATTGGATACTTTTTCTTCCATTCCTGAGATACCTTGCCAAGAAGAACATTTTCCAATTCCATCCATATAAACATGAAGGAGATAAAGTCTCCATCTTTCTCTAGGGCTGTGTAATATTCCATGGTGTACATATACCACAATTTATTGATCCATTCATGGGTCGATGGGCATTTGGGCTTCCTCCATGACGTAGCAATTATGAATTGGGCTGCAATAAACATTCTGATACAGATATCTTTGTTGTAATTTGATTTTTGGTCTTCTGGATATATACCTAATAAAGGAATTTCAGGATCAAATGGCAGGTCTATTTTTAGTTCTCTAAGTGTTCTCCAGATGTCTTTCCAAAAGGAATGAACTAATTTGCATTCCCACCAGCAGTGTAGAAGTATTCCCTTTTCTCCACATCCACGCCAACATCTCTGGTTTGGGGATTTTGTGACATGGGCTAATCTTACTGGGTTAGGTGGTACCTAAAAGTAGTTTGGAATTGCATTTCTCTGATGATCAAGGATGGAGAGCATTTTTTCATATATCTGTAGGCCATGCACCTATCTTCTTTAGAGAAATTTCTATTCAAGTCCCTTGCCCCCCCCCTCCCCCGAGATGGGATCACTTGTTTTTTTCTTGCTAATACATTTGAGTTCTCTGTGGATTTTGGTTATTAAACCTTTGTCGGAGACATAACCAGAAAATATCTTCTCCCATTCTGAGGGCTGTCTACTTGCTTTATTTACTGTGTTCTTGGCTGTGCAGAAACTTTTTAGTTTGATCAGGTCCCAAAAGTGTATTTTTGACATTGCTTCAATTGCCCGAGGGGTCTTCCTCATAAATTTTTTGCCCAAGCCGATTTCTTCAAGTGTTTTTCCTACACTTTCTTCTAGTATTTTCATAGTTTCATGTGTTAAGTTTAAATCTTTAATCCAGTGAGAGTTTATCTTAGTTAATGGTGAAAGGTGTGGGTCTAGTTTCAGTCTTCTACAGGTTGCCATCCAGTTAGCCCAGAACCATTTGTTAAATAGGGAATCTTTTCCCCACTCAATGTTTTTAATTGGCTTGTCAAAGATCAGATAACGGTAGGTGGCTGGATTCATCTCTTGACTCTCTATTCTGTTTCATACATCTACCTCTCTGTTTTTGTGCCAGTACCATGCAGTTTTGATCACTATCAATTTACAGTATAGTCTGAGGTCTGGTAATATAATTCCTCCTACTTTGTTTTTGTTCCTGAGTAATGTCTTTGCTATT